TCATAAATTTTACTTAAATAATATTTAAATATAAAACTTTAAAAATCGTAATATACATACTTATACTTGATATGGAAAAATAATTTTACTTACTGTAAGTAATTCTAATACATTTACTTCTTTTAAAAAGAAATATAATCTATTAAAACTAACACTGAAAATATTTTAAAGTTGTATTTAAAATTGTAGTTAAATAAAACGTATTCTCACCTAAAGACCTCCCTCAAAATACTACAAGCACTTAAAAGAATCCAATAAAACACCTACAGTAAAATGAAATTAATATGAAAAGCTAGATGCAAACCATTGAATGACCCATGTCTTTAGTACTTACATGAGAAACAAGATAGTAATAATTTTATATAAAAAATAAAAGTTTACTAAATCAGTGAAATTAATTAGCTATTTTTGCCGTCATTGTCATAAATTTTACTTAAATAATATTTAAATATGAAATTTTTAAAAATTTGTGACCTAGTAATATACATACTTATACTTGATGTGAAAATAATTCTACATACTGTAAGTGATTCTAATATATTTACTTGTTCTTAAAAGAAATATAGTATATTAAATATTAAAAGTGAAAATATTTTTCAAATCGTATTTAAATAAAACGTATTCTAACCGATAAAACAGCCCCTTGTCAAAATGTTTAAATATGACAAATGATTTTGTCTTAAATATACAAACAGAAAAAATGCCGTAAGAGCTTCCATTTGCCGTTAACAATAAAGTTTAAAAAAAATCCAGACGACATGCATTTTAACGGATGTCAAATTTCATTGAAAAATACATCCCTACCCCTAGCAAAACGTAACTAATAACTGATACATTTGATACAAAATACAGCGATAATGAACACGCAAACACCCTTGTCTGGTTGAATTAGATTTCTCTGTATCCTGGAAACGTGAATTATGATTTTGCTGTGTCTTTAAAACCAGTAATTTTAAAACTTACTCCTGTGAAATGAAAAAGTTCACTTGAGGATGAAATGGAACTAATGTCTTTAATTTAATTAGAAAATTAAATTTCTTTACTTTCAGCTTCCATTTTTGAAACATGGTTAGAACTGTGTAGCGAATAAAACATATTTTTAAATCAATTAAGTTTTTATATATATATATATATACATAGTTACCGATTTGCCTTATATATATATATATATATATATATATATATATATATATATATATATATATGATGTCACACATTATAAAAAAAGAATGTATAAGCATAAAAATGTCTTTATAAAAAAAAACATATTTTAAATCAATTAATTTATAATATATATATATATATATATATATATAATATTTTTGTAAAAATAGAGGGGCAGTATGATAAATTTTGAAAAGAGACGCACAGAAGCCATGACCCCATTCACGTCTACACACAAAAAAGCTACCGCGCTGACAAAGTACAAACCAACCCACTTCCTTTCCTCTCTGTGAACTACGATCAAACCGAAAGGAATGATGGAAAATAGCTGCGAAAGATACACAATTGCAAAGAAAATAAAAGAAAGAAAGAATGAATGAAAGAATTAAGGAAAGAAAGAATGAATGAATGAAAGAATTAAGGAAAGAAAGAAAGAAAGAAAGAGAGAGAGAGAGGGAGGAGAAATAGAAAGCGATACAGAGGGAGGAAATAAATATATATCAGACAAAACTTGGCAGAGGTTTATATTTTATTTCAGCTTGAATTAAACTTCGCATAAAGTTACTTTTTTTGAGGTGTCTTGTATTGTGATATCGACTATCACGAGCGATGATGTTTTAATTTCTCAATGAATTTGACTTGGAAGAACACCCAAGTTCTGTCACAAAATCGCGCTGACAAAAGCTATGCGTGAGTGCGTAAGCACACTCCCGCGCACACACACACACACACACACACACACACATTTATTTCTAAGTAATATATTTCATTTATTAATCCGACATATTTTTATCAATTTAAACGTTATATTTAGTGGATACACATACTTGAGTAGACGCTTCGTCTTTTTTTTTTCAAAACTATATATCTATTTTTGTCCACTGGCCGGAGTCGAACCTGTGCCCACCTTCGCAGGATAAACTCTGGTTAGATCCTACGAACTTTTAACCAACTCGGCCACGAAGAACGTCGTGAAGTAAGTCAGTATAGAACTATATTTAATTGACGACGGTCTTCGTGGCCGAATCGGTGAAACGTCCGATTGTTTGCCCTGGTGGGACACAGATTTTTCCCTATATCGAGAGTCAATAAAAATCTGTGTTTAAATGAACTACCGTAAATGAGACGGTGACATCCGAAGACGCATTGGGATGGCCAACGACGCATTTCAAAAGGTAGGCAGGGTATTGCGTGACACGAGGATTTCAAAGAAAAGAGTACTGAGGTGCTACGTGACATTTGTCCTCCTTTATGGCAGCGAATGATGGGCGGTCTTCTTAAAAAGGAAGAAGACTCGAGGAGACGGAGACATGGTTCTACTGAAAAAATGCTGAGAATATCACGGACCAAGCGTGTGAACAACGATTAAGTTTTGAAGAGGATGCAAACAAGGAGGAGGCTTATACTTAACATCAGGAAGAGGCAGCTGAAGTTTCTGAGACACGTAATGTGAAAAGAGCCTGTAAAATGTCTATACTCACAGGTCGAATAGAAGGAAAGAGAGACAAGAGAAAGCAACGCATGACATACCTGGCGGAGTTAATAAAGGTGGTCCCTGGGAGGTAGCAAAAGGACGAAACTTATTGAGAGCCACAAGGTATAGGAGGCACATAAAAAGAAAATGAAATATATATATATATATATATATATATATATATATATATATATATATATATATATATAGTTAGTTAGTTAGTTTATGAAAAATTAGGTAATCCGGATAGGTAAACCCTAGGAGGATATATATATATATATATATATATATATATATATATATATATATATATATATATATGGATAGAGAGAGAGAGAGAGAGAGAGAGAGATGTAACCATTAGTTCTATGTTAACAGTTTCTTCTCTCAACTTGTCTCCCAGTCAAGGTTGATCCTTAAAATTTAAATGCAATATCAATTATTATCTTCTATCTTCTAAATATCATTTCTTTTAATTTTTCTTGTCCTTTTAATAATGATTTTTTTTCTTATATTATTTCAGACTCAGTAACCCCCTACACCCCAGTGGATTTTTTCCCTTGCTTGTGGTAAGATGATTAAAAGCAATGTGCGTATAATATCTGAAAGTAATCTCAATAATTCCTGTATACTGAGATGAGGTATTATGATTACTTACATTATTTTCATTATTCCGACTGTTATCTTCATCTTCATTGTCATATTCACAACGTTTCGGCTGTTGTATGCTCTGGTCTTCTTCAGGTAATTAGAATAACGAACCCCTTAAGATAATACTGCAAAAATATCGCGAAGCGGTAATACGATTGGAAATAGAAAAATCAGGCATAGCTGACTACATATGGCGGGAAAAGGGAGATAACGGCCCCCTGTGGGATGAGGTTGAAGTAATAGACAGGGGGCATCACTGGAAAATACAAAAATTTAAGGAATCGGCATATATGCTAAGCCACAAAATCTCCTCAGTTGGCCAAGTATAGAAATGAATAAAATATTGTAAACATGAAAAGAATGAATAACAACAATAAATTGCAATATAAGCTCCGGTAAATATGCAATAATAACAGAAAAAATGTAATATGAGCACTGATAAAAAAAAAAAAAGGTTGCTGAGAGATAAGGTTTATAAGTCCCAGATATTTATACACAGATGTCTTCAAAGATATGTGCAATAAAGAGTCCAGTTCTAAAATCCAAACACCTGAAGAAAGCCTGTGCGTACAACAGCTGAAACGTTGTCAATATGGCAATGAAGATGAGGTTAACAGTTCGAATAATGTAAGTAACCTCTAAACCTTGTTTATCTCTATGAGATATACAAGTGATTAAATTCCGAGCAGAATAAATATATTCAAGTTTACATTTGAGCTATACAATTTTCATGAGGAATCTTTCTGGTTGGACAAAGACAAAATCATTGTCTTTGTCATCACTTTGTATTCTTGTCTTTCAAAGACGCCCGATGTAAATTGAAGATGGCGCGTGCTGAGCCAGCGAGAATGGCGAGGTGTCTCTTTACGAATAAAAAATTCATGAGACATTGATGTTGGCTTCCTGAATTATAAAACCTGCTTTGCGCAAATGCCGCACCAAAGGGGCAAAAACGTCGAACGAAACGATGTCAGAAGACACATTAGGAATCGACTTCAATCTCGCTGTAGCAAAGGGCACTAAAATATTTAGCCACAAATTGGATATCACTTATTCCATCATAATATCAGGTTCGCTGAAACTGGTTGGATTAGAATCAAATTTATATTAATTCCCATAAACCCCCGGCTTTGATTAAACTAATGAATGTTTGGCTGTGTAGTTTGCCAAAAGGACCAGATGTGAATAATACGGAGAAATTGATGTCTAAATTAAACAAAAAGGGCTCACAAATATACCTGAATGGATTATCGATTGCATATTAGCATAGTCGCGCAGCAGCACGATGGGTTAAGCGGTCTGAGCACCGGTACATGACAATTAGTATCATGGCTGATGCTAACATCCAAGAGGCTAACGCATTATGACTTTTTTTTTTAGCAGTGTTTTTGTATTGAATTAATTGATAGTTGGGCTTATGGCTACATCAAATTGAAACACCAGTTTCCGTACGATCACCGAAGTTAAGCAACGTCGAGCTTTGTCAGTATCTAGATGAGTGACCGCTTCAGAATAACAGGTGCTGTAAGATTGGATGTGCGGTAGAATAACAGGCTTTTAGCCACATAACGTTGAAACAAAGGTTCTCGTACAATCAGCCAAGTTAAGCAACGTCGAGCCTTATCAATAGCTAGATGGGTGACCGCTTGGGAATAGCAGGTGCTGCAAACTTGGGTGTGCGGATAGGATGATAGGCTTTTAGATACATCACAGTGAAACACCGGTTCTAGTACGATCACCAAAGTTAAGCAACGTCGAGCCTTATCAATAGCTAGATGGGTGACCGCTTGGGAATAGCAGGTGCTGCAAACTTGGGTGTGCGGATAGGATGATAGGCTTTTAGATACATCACAGTGAAACACCGGTTCTAGTACGATCACCAAAGTTAAGCAACGTCGAGCCTTATCAATAGCTAGATGGGTGACCGCTTGGGAATAGCAGGTGCTGCAAACTTGGGTGTGCGGATAGGATGATAGGCTTTTAGATACATCACAGTGAAACACCGGTTCTAGTACGATCACCAAAGTTAAGCAACGTCGAGCCTTATCAATAGCTAGATGGGTGACCGCTTGGGAATAGCAGGTGCTGCAAACTTGGGTGTGTGGATAGTATGGTAGGTTTTTAGATACATCACAGTGAAACACCGGTTCTAGTACGATCATCAAAGTTAAGCAACGTCGAGCCTTATCAATACCTAGATGGGTGACTGCTTGGGAATAGAAGGTGCTGCAAACTTGGGTATGCGGATAGTATAATAGGCTTTTAGATACATCACAGTGAAACACCGGTTCTAGTTGAAGTTAAGCAACATCGAACCAGGCAGTATCTAGATGGGTTCCGCTTGAATAATAGTTGCTTAGGTGTGCAGGGGCTGTGGCGTACGCCCATATCACGTTGAGACACCTGTTCCCGTATGATCACCGCAGTTAAGCAACGTTGAACTTGGTCAGTATCTACATAAGTGATCGCTGGGTAATATTTGTTTCTCTAAGCTTGGCTGTGTCAGTGGTGTAACGGATACATTAGAATGAGAAGTCTGAGAGGAGGTCGAATTCCAGTCGTTCCAGAGTTCAATACCCGGTTAAGGCAGTGGAGAACATTCAGAGGGAAAATTAACAGGAGATAACTGATAACTGACATCCATCAAACATGACACGTGGAACTAGAACAGTCTACCCCAGTGATCGAAATAAAGGTTTCTGTTCGACATTCCAAACACCTGAAGAAGGCCGGAGCGTACAACGGCCGAAACGCTGTGATAAATATGGCGACAAAGATGAGGACAATAGTCTGAATAATGTAAATAGTGTACATAATACCTCATCTCAGAAACATAGACAGATACTGAAAGGCCGAAACGTTCTAATAAATATGGCGACAAAGATGAGGACAATAGTCCGAATAATGTAAATAGTGTACATAATACCTAATCTCAGAAATATAGACTGATACTGAAAGGCCGAAACGTTGTAATAAATATGGCGACAAAGATGAGGACAATAGTCCGAATAATGTAAATAGTGTACATAATACCTAATCTCAGAAATATAGACAGATACTGAAAGGCCGAAACGTTGTAATAAATATGGTTACAAAGATGAGGACAATAGTCTGAATAATGTAAATAGTGTACATAATACCTCATATCAGAAATATAGACAGATACTGAAAGGTCGAAACGTTGTAATAAATATGACGGCAAAGATGAGGACAATAGTCCGAATAATGTAAATAGTGTACATAATACCTAATCTCAGAAATATAGACAGATACTGAAAGGCCGAAACGTTGTAATAAATATGGCGACAAAGATGAGGACAATAGTCTGAATAATGTAAATAATGTCCATAATACCTCATCTCAGAAATATAGACAGATACTGAAGGTCCGTAACGTTGTAATAAATATGGCGACAAAATGAGGACAATAGTCCGAATAATGTAAATAATGTACATAATACCTCATCTCAGAAATATAGACAGCCTCACATCTTTCTTTTCAAACCACCCCTTCGAAACTTTGAATGTGTTGCATGATATTTTATTAGGATTATTTATTATTATCATTTTTATTGTTAGGATTATTATTGTTGTTAATTATTTAAATGAATTTTAGTTGAATTTTCGTTTTGAATTTCGGCCGAGATTAGCATTTAACATTGAAAATAATTTTGAAAGTAAGAATAATAAATTCTAATTTTAAAAACGGACGCTTTTGTTATATTTTACAAAACGTTTGGAGATCGGGGGTATCTCTATTTTTTGTATGAACATCAATAAAAAATTACTAAAATTACTCATATAAATAATATCAAGAAAATAATATGCAGTGATAAAATAAAATTAAGATACTATTGAAAATAATACATAAAAAATAAAAATAAAATAAAATGGAATAAAAATAAATTAAAAAATTAAAACATATAAATAAGAATATATCAATAATAAATCAACATAATAATAATAATGAAACCGTTCCTGGTAAGTATGATATGAGGCATTCGCGTCCAGGGTAAGCCGATAAAATGAGTCCAACAGCAAAACCTCTGAGCAGGAGGTTTTGAGGAGCATGGAACCACCTCATAATTGCTGGTGTTCCCAGGTCCACCCTGACCCAGGGTAGTAGCACCTGTCGGGGTCCCAGATATGGGCAAATAGTTAACCCCAAACTGAGATTAAAACACTATGAAAGTTTAAAAATAGGTTTTAATACTATAAATACTTTGTAAAAAAAATTATTACCAGCAAAACATTTTTGAAAAAATGTTACCAACGATACATATTTGTAGGAAAATTACACAAAAATAGATTTTTGAAAAAAAAAAATGTTACCAATAAAAAAAATTGTCGACATAACAACCTCAGAATGATATGACATAAAACAAAACAAAACAAACCTGATATGAGGTATTGTTATGTCCGGACTGTTATCCTCATCTCTGTTGCCATATTCACGACTTTTCGACCTCGAGGAAACATGGACTACTTGATAAAAGCGTTCGTCGTTGTAATCCAGTGAATTGACCCAAGGATTTGTGAGTTCAGTACATGACTACAACACAGCAGATCAACAACTTGAAGGGTTGGGTTACTAAAGGAAAATAACTGAGACTGGGCTACACGGAAAAGACTTGGCATTCGAAATTCAAAGCACCTGAAGAAGGCCGGGGCGTACAACGGCCGAAAGGTCGTGAATATATTGCAAAAAAGATGAGGATAACAGTCTGAAGAGTGGCTGCTTCTGGTATTAATACATCTCGCTTCAGTTATGAATTGAACGCACATGACTACTGGCTTTTGTATACATCACGTATATAATACGTTAAAACTTTCCCTTTCTCTGCTGTGCGTCGATAGCTTAGGGGTAGAATCTAAGACTAATGCCAAATCGATCGAGTTTTGATCCCAGCTTGAAGCAATCAACAGGTTTGTACGTGGATGATTATATATATAAGTTCTACTTATGAGGGTCAATTGATCATTTCCCAGGAAACCGACAGCCCGACAACAGCACATGAGATTTGGTTATAGTGGTGAAGGTTTCGTGCAGGACCATCCACACTTTTTGAAGGGCCGATTACAGAGACCTGGTGCACTAAATCCCACGGAATCCCCAAACGACTCTCCGCAGGTTTTGAATTCAGAGTTGTCCTTCTCTTAGACCAGTTGCCATCCAAGGCTATAAAACCCAGTCTGTCCTGCTATTTACCCATAGCTGGAGGGAGAAGAAGAGGATTATTAGCACGTAAGTGAATGTAATGGATTCGACTGGAATTCGAACTCGGCTCTCCGATTCCTCAATTCGACCCGCTATCCATTACTCCTCCGGGAAAATCTAGAAGAGGATTCATACCTTTCCCAAGGATATTAGCACGTAAGTGAAAAAATGGATTCGACTGGAATTCGAACTCGGCTCTCCGATTCCTCAATCCGAAATCCATTACCTCCGGGAAAATCTAGAAGAGATTCATACCTTTCCAAGGGTATTAGCACGTAAGTGAATGTAATGGATTCGACTGGAATTCGAACACGGCTCCGATTCCTCAATCGAGCCGCTATCCATTACTCCTCCGGGAAAATCTAGAACAGGATTCATACCTTTCCAAGGGTATTAGCACGTAAGTGAATGTAATGGATTCGACTGAATTGAACACGGCCTCCGATTCCTCAGTCCGAGCCGCTATCCATTACTCCTCCGGGAAAATCTAGAATAGGATTCATACTTTTCCCAAGGGTATTAGCACGTAAGTGAATGTAATGGATTCGACTGAATTCGAACTCGGCACTCCGATTCCTCAATCCGAGCCGCTATCCATTACTCCTCTGGGAAAATCTAGAAAATTCATACCTTTCCCAAAACATTAGCACGTAAAAATGTAATGGATTCGACTGGAATTCGAACATTTGCTCTCCGATTCCTCAACGAGCCGCTATCCAGACTCCTCCGGGAAAAAAAGAATAGGTTACTTTTCCCAAAGGGTATTAAAAAAAAAATGTAATGGATTCGACTGAATTCGAACACGGCTCTCCGATTCCTCAAATGCTATCCATTACCCTCCGGGAAAATCTAGAACAGGATTCAACCTTTCCCAAGGGTATTAGCACGTAAGTGAATGTAATGGATTCGACTGAATTCGAACACATCTCTGATTCCTCAATCCGAGCCGCTATCCATTACTCCTCCGGGAAAATCTAGAATAGGATTCATACTTTTCCCAAGGGTATTAGTCGTTGTGAATGTAATGGATTCGACTGGAATTCGAACTCGAGTTCCGATTCCTCAATCCGAGCCGCTATCCATTACTCCTCCGGGAAAATCTAGAATAGGATTCATACCTTTCCCAAGGGTATTAGCACGTAAGTGAATGTAATGGATTCGACTGAATTGAACTACTCTGAAATCCGAGCTTCTACCAATACTCCTCCGGGAAAATCTAGAAGAGATTCATACCTTTCCCAAGGTTATTAGCACGTAAGTGAATGTAATGGATTCGACTGAATTCGAACTCAGCTCTCCGGTTCCTGAATCCGAGCCGCTATCCATTACTCCTCCGGAAAAATCTAGAATACATTCATACCTTTCCCAGGGTATTAGCACGTAAGTGAATGTAATGGATTCGACTGAATTCGAACTCGGCTTCCGATTCCTCAATCCGAGCCGCTATCCATAAATCCTCCGGGAAAATCTAGAAAGCGTTCATACCTTTCCCAAGGGTATTAGCACGTAAGTGAATGTAATGATTCGACTGGAATTCGAACACGGCTCTCCGATTCTCAGTTTGCTATCCATTACTCCTCCGGGAAAATCAA